ACATGCTTATGTATAAAATACATGAAAAGTGGATTTTGCACAATAGGTGACCTTTAAGATTCTACTCCTATAGAAGCAGAATTAAAACATTATATCAAATGCTAGCCCAGATACAGTATTAACCTGACCTTAATGATTCCCTTTAATTCCCTAGTGTGGAAATCTGCCTTTCCGCCGTTTGTGCAAGCGCTTTGGAGCAGACATCACCTGTGGGGAGATGGCCATGTGCACCAACCTGCTGCAGGGCCAGCAGTCAGAGTGGGCCCTCCTGAAGCGGCACGAAAGTGAAGATGTTTTCGGCGTCCAGGTGCTGTTCCTAGATTTCTTTAACTCCTCAGAATAAATCTGCTCTCTTTGATGTTGTTAACACTTTTAGACAAACTACAAATTGTATTATTTTACTGTTATCTAAAGATTTTGTTAAGTTGTCTGAAGAAAAGTCCAAATGTTGTCTTCAGGTGGAGGGCTGTTTCCCCGACACCATGACGAGGTGCGCAGAGCTCATCAACAACAACGCAGATGTTGACTTTGTGGACATCAACTCTGGATGCCCCATTGACCTCGTCTACAAGAAGGTACACCCTCCATAAAACCCATTAGTTCCACAGTGTTTTCACTACTTTGTTATCCTCTCTGTCGTTTACATTTAAGCGACTTCACACTTTAGATCAGTATTTCTTTGAACTGAAGTTCAATTAGAACCCACCTAAAAGCTTAAATCCATCCCCCCTTTGTTTGATACAGTCAATGCCAAGAAAAAGATAAGCAGAATTATATTTTTCTAAATAAGGCGGGCCAGTCAAAGTAAAATAACATTAAACCATGATGACTTTAAGCTTTAAAGTCAGACAGTCATTTGTGTTTTATGATCCAGTGTATAAAGCATCATTGAACATGACACTCACTGACAGGTGGTGTTTGTTTGCTTTCCCTCATCAGGGTGGGGGCTGCGGCTTGATGACACGCAACAGAAAGTTTGAACAGATAATCAAGGGAATGAACCATGTAAGTTTGGGTGTTTTGACCCCGTTCAGCTGGATGAGATGTCTTGTTGAATTTAGGCTTTTAGGAGGAAAATGTAATTTTCTTTCTTCCTGAAGGTCCTTGACGTCCCGTTAACAGTCAAGATCCGCACTGGTGTTCAGGAGAAGTGCAACATAGCGCACAAACTTATTCCAGAGATGAAGAAGTGGGATGTCTCTATGATCACAGTAAGTAACACGGCATGCGTTTGAGCAAGGGCAAAGGGTGTCGACCTTCATGTGTTGAAAATGATTAGTATAGTAGCAGCTTAAGTCAAAAAAACACCTGCAAACAACGGCAATCCAGTCAGTCTCATTTCAAATAGTGTAGGAACAAGTGGACACTTGAATGAAAATCATATAAAATCATATAAAATCATGTATTAATTCATTATTATTTTCTTACGTTGTTGTTTAATTTTAATGCACTCAACAAACCACTTTGAAATGTAATGTGAGAGCCCTTGATGTGTCTATATATCTAAGTTGATGTGTTATACCATTTTGCATTTTGATTGACTTGATTGAACTACATTTGATGCAAGTTTGATGCATAATATTTGTTCCTCCTTCAGCTTTAAAGTATGAGAACACAACTCATGATGTAGTTTCCTTACAGTTGCATGGCCGATCCAGAGAGCAGCGCTACACTAAACTAGCTGACTGGGACTACATCACCACCTGCTCCAAACTGGCTAGTCCTGTCCCCCTTTTTGGTATGTGAACTTATTTTTCAATTTCTTGATTGTAGTTACACACACTTCAGATGGGGGCAAACTATTATATATAGGTGAAAATAACTCCATGTGTGCATTTTGATACTCTGAAGGTTGCAACAATCCTGCACAGGCCTAAGAAATGTTATATATTGTTGGTAATGATTGAGAATAAGGTGACTTGTGTTTATTGTCCCAGGTAATGGAGACATTCTGTCCTATGAAGATGCCATGAAAGCAAAAGAGACCGGAGTTTCTGGAATTATGATTGCAAGGTTGGTGCCACTTATAGTGATTAAATAAGTAGACAATATAATAGAAACACAGAGGCAAAAGTCAAGATTTTAAAAATATTAGTTTATTTAGTATGTTGTATCATTGTCAGTGAACTTCTTGTGTGTTCTTACTTTCACAGTCATTAAAAAGTACCCCCTGATCAGCGCAAAAACAATTTGTTAAGGAAAAAATGCCTATATAAAGAGGTACAGCGCTGCACCATCAGAGTCTGATTTATTAAAACAACAACATTGTAACTGAGAAACACTTAAATGCTACATTTCAAATTTTAACTTCATGCAATAACACTAAGACGGCATTAGTTGCATTGAACTGATCTTTTTAATAAGTTGTCCTTACAATGTAGTGAAACATGGGCTTGTGCTTCACTGAGGATCGTTGTCATTCTGACAGGGAGGCAACTGCAGTTATTACACTTTGCGTTTTGAAATATGTGTAACTGTTAATATAAAACCCACACTGCTCAAACTTCGTTACTTTTCCTAAAATTTGTATATTTATTTATTTTGGGGCGTGGGGAATGAAGAGAAAAAAATATATGAGCATTTTATGAGCATGGGATTTTGACCCCTCATATAAACATATGCATAATGCTGCGCTATACTTTGCGGCCACAAGCCGTTGTCAAGCAACGCTTATTATGTAGGTCCTTTTGATAAGCAGGCAGTCATATAATTAACTAGAACTAGCTAGATCTGATAGATTTGGACATAAACGAGAGTGAAGTCTAACCGGACGGGAGAGAGAGATCAGAGATCAGATCAGCTGCTGCTGACGGAGAACACGCAGCTCTGCATGATCACAGCTCCGCCGCTGTGACGCACCGTTGAGTGGAGCAAAATTAAATACACTAAGAGTTAGACCTAACACACTTAGCTAGTTTATATACTCTGGAACTAGCTAAACTAGTTAAGAATATATTTATTCTTTACTGTCGGGTCACTTATTACAGGTTCAGCGAGCTGCACGAGACTGACGGGCTGTCAGGAGAGAGACCCCGTTTATTTTCCCATTTTATTATCCAGAGTTTCTGTAAACCTTTGAATAAAGTAGTTCATCTACTATTAGTAGTTTGTTTAAATGCATTAATTATGTTTGTTTTTTTCATTAGCATAAAATAAATCTCACGTACCCCCTGCCAGTACTCCAACGTACCCCTAGGGGTCCGCGTACCCCCATTTGAGAACCACTGATTTAGAGGATTATTTAACCCATAACCAGTCATGACCCAGTGGAATTACTCTATATTACAGAGCCGAATTATCTTTGTGGTGAACTTGAAACTGATTGTGCATGTCTGACTTTTGGATCTTCAGGGGTGCTCTTATTAAGCCCTGGATCTTCACCGAAATAAAGGAGAGCCGACACTGGGACATCTCGTCCAACGAGCGACTGGACGTCCTCCGGGATTTCAGCAACTTTGGTCTAGAACACTGGGGCTCTGACACACGGGGGGTGGAGAAGACCCGCACCTTCATGCTGGAGTGGCTCTCCTTCATGTGCAGGTAGCGAAATATTGTAATTATGAAAGCAATATTATGACTTGTAATTTGACCAGGCCGCTAAATATATGAGTTTATCTCTGCCTCTTAGATATATTCCAGTGGGCCTGTTGGAGCGGGTGCCACAGAAGATCAATGAGAGACCTCCATTCTACATGGGCAGGAACTACCTGGAGTCACTGATGGCCAGTCAACATGCTGGGGACTGGATCAGGATTAGGTGAGCAGGGAAACATCAAGAAGCACCATTTTAAAGTCAGGCTACAATAAAATGAACTGTTGATGTATTTACTGATTGTAATATCCTTCTTTTTCCCCTCTCCAGTGAAATGCTGCTCGGACCTGTACCAAAGAATTTCATCTTCTTGCCAAAACATAAAGCCAATGCCTACAAGTGATTTTTGTTGAAATATCTGGCACTTCCATTTGTTCTTTTGTTTGTTATTGGCTTTAGAGAATAAGATTCAAATAAAGCTAATCTATTGTTATGAATAATAAAGGTTGGAAGAGTCTGATTATTTGACCTGTGGTGATGCAGTAGCAGAATACATGGCGTGTTTGTGTACTTGAATATATGCAATAAAGTATTTTTTGGCCACACAAGATATTCCTCTTTCTTTTATTCTGAATGAAATTATTTGATATGAGTAATTCTGAAATATATTCTGATGCAAACATCCAATATTACTCATTGAAATACTTAAAATCTATTTTTTACATGAAAAATTAAAAGAGATACGTTTGTTATGATATCAAATTGAGCAACACTGTGGGAATCATTTACCATTTTGATAAAATATATACTTGGTGATCAGTTTAGTAGTAACAGGATGTAGATGCTTTGGCTGAACTGTTTTGCCCAATGATCTAAATATATTGTGATTACTTGAGTCTTATTTTTGGTATAATACTGTGACCTGAAATTGGTCAGGACACTTGTATTTTCTCAATAAGGCTAATAAAGCAAAGCAGAATTCCCCATCTGTATGAATGATCAAATATGTTTAATTACCTTTTGGATATGAACATGTGTTGCATACTGCACAATGCATTGAATGTTTTTTTCAATTGTTAATAGAGGTCTTTACCAAGTTAATAAAAAGTATTTATTATTCACAGTTGACTGAAATATGTATAAGATACAAAAAGTGAACATTTATCAATGTATAATCATTCAATATTTTAAGTGGTCAAATTGTAAACCCCTACATCGGTGCCTTGTTGATAAGACTCATGAACATGAAATAAGGCCTGTCTATTTTCAACGACTTCTTTTTGGAGCAAATATGCGAGATTGATTCACACACACACACATACACACACACACACACGAGACTTGATTAGCAAGTGCCAATCAGCAGCTTTCAGGTGCAATCAATTAACTCCAACCACTACTTGCGTGACAGGAGGATACGTCTTCATTCGACTTTCTGCAGCTGCTGCAGGGTTATTCACTTCGAGCCATGGCTGGTATCAAGGTTGATCTGTTGGTGGTGCTGGTGCTGTCTGGGACTCTGCTGCTGGGTCCAGTGCGGGGATGGAAACCAATCACCAGCGATCAACTCAATCATTTCTACGAGACCGGGCAATGGGGAGAACCAGAACCAAGCGTGAACTCCACAGGTAAGCCCCTCTCCATCTTCCTCAATGAGTGAAAGCTGTTAGCTGTTGCAAAAAAACTCCTCCATCACATTATGTCTGGGCCTGGAGTTCTTATGAATTCAAATATTGTTTTACAAGTGAGAATTTGAGGCATGAAAGGCTCTTTCTCAACTAAATTCTCTTGAGGTTTAGCTGATATATTTGATTCGTTTGGTAGCACCAGTCATTTGGGCTTTTAAAGGACTGTCTGTTCCTGTTATTCTTATAGCCTACTGACTTGTTTACATTGTATGTCTTGTAAGTGTTAAGAAGTCTGTGTTCCCTGCCAAAATATTTTGTGTTTAGTCTTGGGCCAGTTTTATCCGTTGCAATAAACTTGAGTGGAGTGAAAAGGCTCAATCGATGAGAGTAAAAAGATTTCAGAAAAATGCGCTATTGCAAGCGTCAGTTATGATGGGAGGGGTTAAGGGTTTGAGTCTTCACAATGTGTTCTAAAATGTATTTCATTTTAGCTACAAACTCCCTTTAGGCAGACATGTTGCGGAGTCTGCACTTGGCACTATATATTATATACCATTATGGAAAATGGCAACAATATTTAGCTGTGTCTTTACAAAAGGCTTTTTTTACTTTATTCATTTGACTTTGGTAACAACGACTGCTTTCTCTAGATGACCACATTGACTTCGATGAGGTGATTCCTGAGGATGAGTTCCCTGAATTGGGCCCCTCCACCGGTAGAAACCCTATGTCTGCTCACCATGGATTCAAGGAGGATGTAGAAGATTCTCATCCACAAAACTGGGCCAGTGCTCCGAACAGTGAATTTCAGGTGGAATTTGATGATGATGCCCCAGAAATAAACATGGCCAGAGGTAGTGAACGAGAATTCCAGACGGGATTTGAAGATGCCCCTCCAAGAAACTCGGCCAGTGGCACCAATAGTGAATTTCAGGTGGATTTTGATGATGCTGATGCCCCAGAAAAAAACATGGCCAGAGGTATTGATCAAGACTTTCAGACAGGATTTGTAAATGCCCTTCCAAGGAGCTGGACCAGCAGTACCTGTCCTACTTCCTCTGGGTTAAGTGTGACTTGTAGTGAAGCTGGTTTCAAGATTGTGCCGATGGGTTCCCTAAGTGATGTTAAAGTTATGGGTATGTATTTGACCTTGTCTGCCAATTTGTAATATTTGCATCTGGTCAACTTACTATAACTTTGTAATCCTTCCCCCTCCAGGTTCAAAGGAATTGATGGCTGTCATGGATGCTCCAGGGTTTTGTGGTTATAAAGTGAACGCTTTCCAGAAAACCTTGACTGTACCCTTCACTGGGTGCAATGTGAAGCATGTAAGTGAATGAGAATTTTATTTTATTAAACTTTGCATTTAGTATTTCACTTCCTAAAGCTATTTTAAATGATTACAGACTGATGGCTACAGCCTGCAGTTGTTGTACGCCGATGAGTTTGGTCGCACACAAGTCACCACTGCGTTTTGTGACGAAGTGCCCCACCATGGCCTGTTCCCTCGCACCATTGGCTTGGACAAACCCAGGCATGTCTCCATACCAACAGAAGCACCAACACAGGCAACAAGTGAGTGAAACTGCCTAATGAGCTATAAACTAATTGTTGGAAGACATTTAATGTTGCAATGCTGAGGCTGTACTACATATTTATGATAAAGGACAAGTGTAGGAGACTTGTTCTTACTTCGAGGGTGGTTTTGTGGGGTAAGGCAGGCACTTTAAAATGTCCCTGTCTTTTCAGATTGTGCCGTCGTCTCAGGGGAGAGGGTGACTTGTGGTACTTCAGAAATGTCTTCTGCAGACTGTGAGAAGACTGGATGCTGTGTGGATTATTCTACATCGGCATGCTACCACCCGCTGGATGGTATGGCTTGTTTAAGGAGATGTTATGTAAATGTTTAAACCATTAATACGGTAGCTTTTTATTCTCACTTTTTTTTTCTTCAGAGTGCACTGGGGATCAACACTTTGTCTTTGCCATTCGCTTCGACTCTGCATCCATCCCTTTGGACCCCAAAAAGCTTGTCATTCCTGGGACAACTTGTAAACCAGTCATTGTTAATGACAAGGTCGCCATCTTCAAGTTTAAAGTTACCGAATGTGGAGCTCGTGCCTATGTAAGTCGTTCCCTCTGCATGAGTGTTTAACAATGCACTTTTCAACGAGTGAATTGAGATGATGATTCTTCGAGCTAGTGATGTCAAACTTTAAGACTCAGAATTGACTCGAGAAAAATCTTTAAACCGCAGCGTAAATTAACTTCTCAAATGGGACAACCCAAATTAATCCACACATTCCTCCACCTCAAAGATAAATTGTTCTGATTTTTCAGGTAATAAATCACTATACTAAAAGACTGGTAATAAAGACTGTGCCTAAGGCGTTACAGATACAGTGGTTGACTTGAGGGAAAACTGTTTATTTTTCATACAGGAAGTTGCTGGGACAAAGATCTACCTGGCTGAAGTGCAGACGATTGTCAAAGCTTTAAATCTTAAGTATGGCATAATTACGAGAACTGATCCACTCAGGTTAGTCGGTTAATTAAAGGTATTTTTCCAGCTTTATTGTCAAGAATTCTACATGTTGTACATCCAGAAATATCGTTTCTCGCAGTCCTACAGTGTGACATATATATATATATATATATATATATATATACATTAAACAAAATAAAGTGCCTAGATAACCGGGGTATACAGTTTAAAATGTTAATAATATAATATATTGAAAGTGTACAGTTTCAATGCACTAGCAGCAGAGATGGGCAGAAAAATGACTGGTGCTGGATGAGGAGGTTGGTTGTGTGTGTATGGGGGTGGTTAGAGTCCAGGACCATTTTGGGCAGGGGAGAAAGGTCAGAGGCAGGGTGGAGAGTTCAGGGGAGAAAGGTCAGAGGCAGGGTGGAGAGTTCAGGGGAGAGATGTCAGAGGGGGGGAGAGAGGGAGGTAGGGAGGGGAGAGAGTTCAGCATCCTGACCGCCTGGTGGAAGAAGCTGTTCCTCAGCCTGGTGGAGCTCGAGCTGAGGCTGCAGAACCTTCTTCATGTAATGTTGTAGCATTGTCTTTACTTTTAGCACCAAGCTTGAACTGACTTTTATTAAACAATGTCTTGTAGATTCATGGTTGAATGCCGCTACGGCCAATTGGGCTCTCATCCAGAATCTCTTGCTAATGTAAGCTATATGGTCAAGACTCCATCTTCCAGCTTGCCATCATCTGTCATGTCTGATGGCCTGCCATCATCTGTCATGTCTGCTGTACAACTGAGAATTGCAACAGGTGAAGTTTTTCTGTTCATTCATTCCAAATGAAATTCAAATGTTTACATTTGGCTGGAGTTGGCTCATTCAAAAGAATCTCAAACATTTGTCCAATTTCTATACATTTGCTTGTTCAACCTCAACAGATCAGACTTATTCAAACTACTCGGAAACTGCCAAGCTGCCCCTGCGACTTCTCCTTGGCAAACCAGTGTATCTTGAACTGCGCCTGCTGTCCCCAAAACCGAATGCAGTAATTATAGTCAACTATTGTATTGCTTACCCTCGCTCTGCAAAGAATGCCCTGGTGCTCATTTATGAAGGGTAAGAATGGATCTAAACCCCATTCATGTGTAATAACAAGGTCATATAATTATCCTAACCGTAACTTCTGTTACATCTGCAGGTGTACCAATCCTTATGACCCAAATTTGGCCATCCTTAAAGTCAGTGACCTTCCCACAAACCGGCGCTTCATGGTCCAGGCCTTCCAGTTTATGGATCAAGCAACAAACCAGTACCTCAATGAAGAAGTGAGTCAAAGTATTAAGGAAGCCTTGCTGGTTTAAACGGTCAAAACTATGCCGTATTAAAGGTCTTGTTTTGACTTTTGCTAAAGACTCTTACACATTGCTAAACTTGACTGTTTTGTCTACAAAGGGAAAATTGGGCAACTTGTCCCTCAAGGATTTATGAATGATTTATCATGTGGTAAATGTTTATTTCCCTGCAGATCTACTTCATGTGCTCTGCTGAAGTCTTTAGGACAACAGAGAAGACTTGTGCAGAACGGGGCTTTGATGGATAGGTGAGAATCTAAACCCATGCAATGAATTACCAACTTTTTCAATGTCTTGTCAATTTGTGTTTGCTTCTAGACATGATGAGGATCTGCAGCTGAAGACATTAAGAAAACAAATGATTATTAACTGGAAAAAATAAAGTTTTATAATACAGCATACAATGGTCTGTCTTGTGGTGTTATGATTTGTGCTCTTCAAAAAGGTGTTCCATTTCATGCTAAAATGAAATTGACAATGATACATTTCCAACACTTGATTTCTAATGAGGAAAACTAATTTCAGCAGTGGGTAAGAAGTTCAGTTATCACAAGTTTAAAGACCACCTCATTTAACTCAATTTCAGCTATGCCTCCAAATGTCTGATATACTTTATATTATTCCTGTTGGTGCTTTTCTGATTTGGTCTTTATTTTCAAGATGGCACTATACACTCGGAGGAAAAGGGTACTTGCAGAAACATTGTTCCTAAAAGTCCAGCTTAATTCTAGAATCTGATTTACTTAATGACACTGTAATGGCGAGTTTGTTCATACAAGGAGACTGCCATAGTTTGAAAGTTGAGCAGAGGGCGCCCATATTAGAAGGGGGACCTGAATATTCAAATCTACAAAGAGGGACTAACAATCTCTCTATGCAGAAGTTTAGCTTCACCTCAGCCAGTTAAACCATTTTTTTTTTTTTTTTTAAACAAGCTGAACATTACAACTAAAGGTCAAACACACCATTTCTGTCCAGCGCTAAAATGTAGTATGTAATGTGTATTTAATTCAATCTGATATAATTCTGCTTAATATTACGAGACACAATTTCTAAACATTTGACATCCTTTAATAGCTGCACTGTCCATGCAGAGCACTTGAATGTATCCAAATGTCCACAGTAAAACAATTTAAGTACTCACAATTTTGTAAAATGTAATGCTGTTGTGAATTCTCAATTATCTGATGTTGCCTATTGTGAAATACTTTAAACATGAATCGGCTTTTTAGGTCCTGGCATTGGACAATGCCATTACCTTAACTCGGTCTATCACTAATTGTAACATTTATTAGTTTGAAACTTGATTTTCATTACACAGTCATGCTGGAGACAATAATGCAGTTCAAACATTAGTGTATGGGTTGAAAAGTAATGGGTTATGAATGATCATTTATTGGTCTTTAGATGGTAACATCACATGGGAAAATTAACAAAAGGCCTGAAAGTTTGGTGCTGTACAATTTAAAATACTAACATTGTTTTGAGATAATCGGTCATGTTATTTAGTTTGAGAACATTTCACAATATATTTATTTCATCACAGGCACATTTTTCATATTTATTTTACTGTCAAAAATTACCTTCAATTCTTGTTTTGAACAAAAATAATTCTTCAATCCAATATTTCTACATTTACGTAGGTAAAACATCAGAGTAGTGCTGTTGCATCAGTCAGTGTAGGTGGGTTTGTCAGAGAGGGCTGCGCTCCACTGTTTACGGTTTCTGGACCTTATGAATGAACATGACTAAGCATCTGTCGCTGGCCCACAATCCTTTGCGCCGTATAAAACACGTAAACAGCCACTTTGTGTCCATTGATACTGTGAAGTCTCTGTTCTCTTTTATTGTCTGCCTAAAATAAAATATCAACTGTTCCAAAGCTTCAGCTACGTTTGAACGTCATAAGGAAACCGGACGTCAGGTGAGAAGAGTCACATGTGGACATCAGCTGTACGGGAATAAAAACGATGTGAGTTTGGTTTGAACTAAACAGGTAGTTTTAATGCTTCTTTGTGCGTTTCAGAAATAAGCTCACCAGAACATGTGGCAGGAACAGAATACGTGTAAACACAAACTATAATTCAGTGTAACTTGAACCTGCTACTGATACTTTTAGAGGTATTATGTTAGCCTGTTAGCTAATGGCACTCAGTCTGAGCTGTCAGCTGCCTTCACAGTTAGCTGCAGAACTGTTCTCTGCATACAGTCAAAACTAGACAGTGTTGTTTACTTTTATAAGCCAGCTCAATCAGACTAGATCTGCTATGAAGTGCAGATTCCAGTATTTTATGTATTCTTAGCATAGATGGCAGACATCTAGATGTAAATGTGCTGTTAACAAAAGTGTGTTAACAAATGTTTCTGTCCGGGTCAGCAATATCCCGATGATACAGAGACGTTTCTAGTAAAAAGATCAGTTAGAGCTTAATTATATGACTAAGATTTGTTTTTTTAAACCATTTAATAGGCACTCGATGCCTGATTTATTTTTCCTTAAATCTTTTTGGACCAAAAGAGTCATGGATTAAAGTAATTATAATACAATAGATGACGTGTTTTGTAAATAAACAAATTTAGGGCATCAAGACAAGGAAGTTAATACATATATTTTTTTAATGGACCAAAAATTACAGATTAAAGTGATATTTACATATTCATACTTGCAAGGTGAGGGAAGTGAGCTTCGTGCTAAGCTTAATAAGACCTAATGATCATGTATGTGTACCTGCTTTTCTATTACTAAAAACTACTAGATACACAAAGTAGGTAAACAGCTGTAGCTAAACTATCACCAACTCAACATCCTGATATCAAACATGCTCTTCTGGCACAGCTGGATGACAGAAGCCACAAATACAGTAGTAGTCAGCAGGTTTGCAGGAGGGTGTGGTTTGTGTCCTCCCATAAGAAAGCGAGTGGTGGTGCTAAACTCTCACTCCTCTCTGCCTGTTAAACCCTCAGCTTCTGTCGCTGGCAAAGATGGCTCATCTCTCAGCGCTGTTCAAGTATGTGGACGAACACCAGGATATGTACGTGGAGGTAAGCTCATTTTAAGTGACATTCATTTACTGTAAGTTTACCCCTCCTATTACTGATCATCTCTTGTTGTTCTTATCCTGAGTACTGAGCAGCATTGTAAATAATTATCTCTTAGTTGGAGTGTGTGATAATTGTCCAAATATTATGCCATGTTCGACTCCACTCTACAGGTTTAAAATAAATAAGCTTTGATAAAATGTTAGCCATAAACGTATCTGACTTAGACATGCTTTATGAAACATCTAGAGTTGGTCGTACATGTTTTCTTAGATAATATTTAAATGTATGGCTTTTTTTCTTGGTTTCCTAGCGCCTCGCCGACTGGGTGGCAGTTCAGAGTGTGTCTGCTTGGCCAGAGAAGCGCGGGGAGATCAAGAAGATGATGGAGATGGCAGCCAAAGACATCGAGAGGCTGGGAGGAACTGTGGAGATGGTGGACATCGGCAAACAGAAGGTGTTAAATCACTTCTGCATGTAACAGACTAGGTCCTCATTCGTAAATCGTCTCTATAATGTATTTCCTTGTTTTGGTTTGTGCATGCAGCTTCCCTCTGGAGAGGAGATCCCTCTGCCACCTATAGTCCTGGGTCATCTGGGGTCAGACCCGGCCAAGAAGACGGTGTGTATCTACGGCCATCTTGATGTCCAGCCGGCCAACATCGATGACGGCTGGGATACAGAGCCTTTTACCCTGGTGGAGAAAGACGGTGAGAGAAGATGCTTTTGGTTTCTATTTGATACAAAAATAACCCTGATTCTGTTTCGATATCACCCTGAACGTTGCCAAGTTGAAAACAATACACTTTTACTGGAAGTTATTTAAGGAGACGAATGTTTTCTCTTGCATGAAACACAAGCCATGTTGTTGTTAACTTCAGGGTTTCAGTTCCCAGTCTTCATGCAATGATTTCTCTACTTTCGTCTTTGGCTCCACAAACCTATTGTATCACATTGCACTAAAATAAATGACAACATGTCCTTCAGAAAAGGCATGATGGCAGATAAAGTCAATCAAAAAAAGAAGGAAATTCGCTTTATCTGAGCCATGTCCAGTTTACAGAATGAAATAAATCTGGTATTTTTAACCATTTATTTAAATGTTTAAATCTCATTTGAGGCTCAGTATAACATAACAATGAAATCACACTCCTTTAGTGTGCAGCTTCATCTTCATTACTTGTTTGTCGTCTTGTTAAAATGCTCTTTGAGCTTTGAGCTTGTGATCATATCACAGTTTGCTGCATATTTCCAAAGTCCAGTCAAGTTACCTCATGCTGTAGGGTAGATAGAGGCGTGCTATCAGGTCTTATCTGCACGCCTTGCAGGACGAGCTGAATAAGTGCTGATGTGTTTAGCAGAATCAGTATACAGCTGCTCAAAAGGCAAAGGTCAAGCTGTTTTTTGTATAAAATGTTTCTATGTAATGTATTTTCTATTCACAATTACACAAGAGCTTAATGACTTATCCTTTGTAATGTATCAGCTCTCTCATCTGCTGTTGTACTTGACATATAAAGAATGTAATATATTTTCAACTAAATAATACTTTTTTTAAAAAATGTATCTGGATTGGTAAGCTATCAGATATTAGCATCGTTTTATTACCTCTTTTTTGTTTGTTGGATATTTTCTAAATTCCTCTTGTACTTTCTGGAGTCAGCTGACAGAAAGTACCCCAACCACTTCCCCCTGTCTCCTTCCTGTCGACTCAGCTCTGTTCTTGCCAACATCATGTTTTACTATCTGGTTGTTTAAATGCTGATTGCTTTCCACCTTTCATCATGTGAAAGGGTTCCTAAATTTGCACGCATTACTAGCTAGTTTCTTAAAATAATTTCAACTTATTCTGTTATCCCTACAACTATATGGAAACCACACATTTAAACACAACTTTTCTACATATACAACTTTCAGAAACACGTGTAAGAAATAACTCGAGGGCTTCAAACTAAAACCCTTTTGTCTTTGTAGGTAAACTCTTTGGAAGAGGTTCAACTGATGACAAGGGTCCCGTGTTGGCCTGGTTCAACTGCATTGAGGCTCACCAGAAGCTCAATCAGGTAAACTTCCCACCGCAATTTAATCTCTAACTTAAATTTAAATCAAGTAAAAGAGTACAACAAATTAAATTGTCAGTGTTACAAGACTTGGTGTATCCCTGATTTGGGTGTTACAGAGCTTTTCATTGTGAAGATGATGACAAAAACGTATTTTAGTTTTGGTTTGAACATCTTCTATCTTAAAATATCTGAAAGCTGATTATTTATGACTTAAGAAATTGGGTGTGGATGGGTGTTGATGAAAAACATCTACACACACTATGAGTTTACCTGCTGGAATTGTATTTGAATGCCA